GCCTTCCCCGCGCGCCCAGGTCCTACGCGGCGTCTTCGCCAGCGCCCGCTGCCCGCCGCGTCCCAAAGAGCCGCCGGGCGCGGGCGCTCGGGAAGAAACGCAAGCCGTTAACGACGAAAGAGGAGCTGCAAGAGCTGATCCCGAGCAGGGCGCGAGGAGAGGAAGCAGAGCTAACGGGCGTAATTAGAAAAGGATTTCATCCTGCCCTCCGAGGCCGATTCAGCAAGACAGATTTGAAAGCCCGGGGGGAGAAACGCTGCATCCACAGGCTAATTAGAGCTGAGAACAGAGCAGCTCGGAACACGTCTGAGCTGTCAAAGGCACGCCGCATGGGCGGCCAAAGCCGGAGAAGGACAGCAATTCCCTCGAAGAGCTTCGGAGACCTTCGGCGCTTGCGACGAGTCCAACAGCGCATCGCTGCTGCCTGGTAGCCCTTGGCCCGGCCAAAGCGGCCGGCTCACATCCTCGGAGAGGGAGGCAAGAGAGCTTTTCCATTCGCAGGGCGAGACGCCTCCCGAAGCGCTCCCCGGGAAGAGACGCGGGCCGGGCGAAGCACAGGAGCGACGTGGCGCAGCTACGCTGAGCTCGCTCCGGCGGCAAAGCTCTCCGTGTCGCTGCTGCGCTCCGTTCCTCCGCAGGGACCACGGCGGTAAAGCCTCCTCCGGGCGGCAGCCCCAAGAACGCAAGTCCCACCTCCGAATGGAAAAGCTCCCTTGCGGACCCGAAACGGCCGACGGGCCGAGCCGGCCCTCAGCTTGGCGCAAACGCCGAGGAGCGTTTCTGCAGAAGCAAAGGGCAGACGGGAAGAGCACGCAAGACCACCACGGACGCCTCCTCGGTTCCTCTGACAGCTCGCCTTTTGTGCCTACAGCTGTACCGGAGGGGAGGACGCAACGGAAGACCTTGAAGAGGTTGGACGCGCTTATTTTGATCTGTCAGAAGGAAGAGGCCGACTGCCAGAGAAGGGGCAGAAGCCAGTAGGGAACAAGGTTGCGTGACACCTAGCGCCCGACCACTCCTCTCTCGAGTATCTACCGCCTGTTTTGGCGGAGAAGCTGAGCCTACGCTGTGCAAACTCCTCCAGGACCCTGGGAACTAGCTAGCAGCCAGCTAGCTTGCAAGGCAGAGCAAGCTCCCGCTAGGCTGTCTTCGGTGAGCTCACGCTTCAAAGTGGGGGAGTAGGATCCTTCTGCAGCTGCAGAAACCGGACCAGGCGCGGGGTCCATCTGGCGCGTCGGACCCTCCGCACCGCCGGGCCGCTTTGGCCGTCTCGCTGGAGGCATCTAGCCCGCTCGG